ATATCATATCACAGAAAACAAAATACAGAAGAGAAAATTCATATACATCATGTACTTGAGGCGTTTTCGACTCGCTTTTTGCAATATCAGAGGTTTACATGAAACTGAGACCAACTTGTGGAGTGGTTGTGTTTCTATTACAATTAACGATAGGCAACATTCCTTTTAATAATCATTATTTCACCAAGTTTACTCACAAACAACCACAACCAATCTACAAATTACTATCAGTTTTATATCAACTGCTGCTCAAATTTGAAGAGTGGAAAATTTGTTATAGATGAGTGAAATCATAACCTGAAAACAAAGATATAAAAATTCTATCGACTCAAGTACTTTTCTACATTTTAACACTGAGAATGACGGTCAACAAATAATGTTATATTTTGGTAATAAAAACGACCCAGGTTGAAACATGTTTAGACGGGCAATTATGGAGAAAGACATTTAAAAAGATGTGTGAACCTAGCTTAAACAGAATAAAAACTCTGTAACTAACAATATTAAAAGACAACGACGTTTTTGTGTTCACTATATTCAATTTTTTCATCCTATTCTTCTACAACATATTTAAAAAATATGATGAATAGAAAATACATACTCGAAAACTGACCCACATGAGGAACAAAGCTCATCAAAAAGTGCATCTATCCTGAAAAAAAACTAAACTGTACTCAAAAACCGGCTCAGGTAATCATCCCTTTCTACAACAACTTTTTTTTTTATTCAATATGGATGATAACAGACTTGATAAATAATAGTGCTAGTTTCTCATCGTCAATAAAATTGTAGATAATTTAATTCGTTACAAATGATGTCCCATAAAATTTTCAGCAGGTTTGCTAGTTTACGATATACAGTGCGAACACCCTTTGCAACCCTTTTTCTAAGATGGTGGCCGAGAGACAAGGGTTGCGACCCCACACACTTGAACTTGAGCTTATACTAACGCCCCTACACATCAAAAAATATAATTGCGTGCTCTGAAAAACGCACGCTAAGGCCTAAAAAATTTAACTTTTCAATGGTTGACATGGTTGGCAACACTGAAGACTAGCGGTTCTGAAAGTTGTTTTTAAAATCAGTTCAGGTTCAGATTCCTATTAATTTCAGTACGTTATAGCATACATAAACACTAAAATTAACAAACGAAATGTCTGAAAAAAAATTGGAACTTGGTTACATGGACGAGTGCAAACCTTGGCAAGTGGAAAGCCGCCTATTTCCCAGCAAAGCGGGGGGAAAACCAGCTTGGCTGGATCTCGAAAATCTTCCTCCTGTTGAGAGACTTCTATGCAAAAAATGCGGCAAGACCATGATATTCCTATGCCAAATCTATGCCCCGTACGAAGAAAACATCAAAGAGAGTTTTGAGAACTACTTGAACAATTTCCACCGAACACTGTTCGTTTTCATATGTAGGGACCCCAAATGCTGCGAGAGGAATAACAGCGATAACTTGAAGGTCTTCCGGAGCTCCCTTCAAAGGAATAACAGGTATGTAGAAAAATGCGCTATGTGGGCTTCACATTTAGAGGAAAAATGAAAAGGTTAGGTTAAGTTTCACGAGAGTGGACATATTTGGCCCTCCACCCGGCATTGTGGCAGATTCTGTGCAGATATATGTGATTTTACCTAATTCTTTCAACAGTCGAACATGCCTAATTCCATGTAGAGAGGACTGGATCCTCCGAGAGGAGAAAAATACTAATAGCTGATAGCTTCAGGTATATTTGCAGATCCAGACCAGAGAAATCAACCTGCCAAGGGTCCTGTGTGACCATATTTCAACAATCCATGTGATATGAATAAGAATATGTGAAATCAGAAATATTTGCCATGAAGCAGAAGAGCTTCCTACAAAGAAACATGAAAATAGCAGCCTCACACACCAGGAATTGATAGATAAAATATCAGCAAAAAACAAATTACTCCAAACAATTGTTAAAGGAAAAAGAAGAGAAGAAGGATACTAATTGAACACTATCAATTATTTCAACATAATATATGTTTTTTATGTTCCGGAAACAAAAAACAGCAAAAAAAAATAGTACCATTGAAGCCACCAAAATAACTGGGCAAACAAAATTTTCCAATCATTAGCATNAGTATTGGTTTTAGGTTTTACTCTTACGATCCTCCGGATGATACACCCATGCCGGGTTTTTCTCTAAGCAAGTGGGTGGATCTCTGCTCCGTTTGTGGCTGCTTGTCACAACTACGGTGCAGCAAGTGTAAAGAAGTTCACTATTGTTCAAAGGAGCATCAGGTGCTGGACTGGAAGTCGGGACACAAGAAAGAATGTACTTCTTCCCCCAACTCAATTAGGCTATCGACAATATTGTTTCCTGAATTTGAAATCAACACTGAAATGGAAGAGCTCGAGGAGGAACCCGCCACCAATAAAGAAGAAGAAGAACTGGAGAAGTTCAAAGAGCTCGAAATAGAGGGGAAAGCAGGGACTATGCCAGAACTTTCCGAGAAAGACCTGGAAGCTCACGCCTCTGGCACAACGGACGAAGCGTTCGAGAAATTTCATAAAATTGTGAGCTTCAACCCTGACCAAGTTATCAGATACAAGGTCGGGGGTGAACCTTTGTGGATAGCGAAGGAGCCTCTGCCGGAAAGTATTCCTGATTGTCAGATCTGCGGGGCGCCCAGGCAGTTCGAGTTTCAGGTTATGCCGCAGATGCTGACTTTTCTCAGAGAGACCGAGTTGGATTTTGGAGTACTGGTAGTGTACACCTGTAAAGCGAGTTGCTTAGGGGATGGTAGTTACAGGGAAGAGTTCATTTTTAAGCAAGATGTGGAGATTAGTGATTGAATTAAAAGCTTTATTTAAAATTTTCATTCATTCCCTATTTTATTTCACTCAAAGTAAACTTTTGAAAAGCTAAATCTTTCGGGATGAATTTCAGTGACTGAAATCATACATTATAAGTTTTCTTCAGCCTCAGATAATGTTTTATTTATATATGACACTTTTGCGGAGCTGTCCATCTCATAAAAAGAATGGGTGGATAATAATCGAAATATCAGGGCAAGTAAATTTAGTAGTGATGCTATGTTATTTCTAATGAAAATAATATGTTTCAAATATAATGCTACCTCTTTGGGCATACAATTAGTGTGACAACCGTGAGCTCCTATTTAATAAGTATCAACAATATGGCTTCAGTGAAAACACCAATGATTTCAGTCATACTTATGCTATAAACTTTGAAACTAAACAGGCTAAAGGCTCCAAGGTTCAATTTTCTACTATAGATGAAATACTTTGCCTCAGATTTAAGAAAAAAAAATGTATTGTCTTTTAGAACGGTAAATTTTTGCTGGCAAAGTTGTGTTCAAAATTGAAAATTGTCGATTCAACAACATGGAAGAATGTTGGACATTAAGTCAATGAATTAATGAAAGATACAACTCAGCCTGAGAATATACAAAATCTGGAGACATTTTAATTTCAGATTGTTTCAAATAGGCAATGTTCTTTAATGTTTATTTGAAGTTGCCAGTTCTCTAGTTACTAAAATATCAAGGAAACCACTATCTTCAGTACATTCAGAAATAGATTAAATTGTATATTTTATTTAGTTATTTGAAGTACTCAAAATGTATGTAGAAGAATGACAAATTTTAGATTGTTCCAAATTCGTGTTTCTCAACATATTTTACCAATATCTTTACAATATTCTTACCAAAATCTCTGAAAATACCTTCAAAATGTTGTATATTGTTGGCAAATCAAAATATATTTTCTGTTTCTACAATAAAAAAAATATGAGAACATATCCGCTTCAATAAAGTCTATCTATT